ACCTGCCTGCAAGCTGATGGGAAATATTTCTGAATTCAGAGCCTCCTACATAACAGGAACTTCTATTTTAAATACCAAGTTGTCAAAATGGTTGTGTAGGTTTTCCTTTTTTTGACTGACACCTTTTTTGACCAATTGGGGAGAGTCATGGTCTCTTCAGAGCCAACAATACACAACAGGCATTATGCAGTCTGACAGGCAYCAGAGTAGACCAATCAGCACTGATGCCTGTTCTGACACTACAGATGTATAACTAATCAATTTCCTGTAATGGATGTTCAGCTTTACCAGATGTAATTTAAAATGGCTTCTGGATTTACAAGGGTAAATTTGTTTCTCCACATGTGCATGTGTGCGCACTTTGTGGAAAAGGTGAAATGTGGGATTTTCTCTCAATTTAGAGATGGAAAAACGTGCTAAAAAGAAAAAAAAACAGTGATTTTGAGGTGGTTAGGTGGTTTAGGAGAAGGAAAATTTGTTTTTCTGATGAGAAAATGTCCAAAAAAAGACAAGTGGTGCGTCTGAGCATATAGTACCGGTTAGATTTGGTTCATGAAGGACATATTCAAAAGTGTGTGTTGAACTTTCATATCCTGTTGCTGCTGTTTGTTTAGATGTAAATACTTTTGAAAAAGTAAGGAATTTATTCACTTTTTGCCACGGTTTAGCKGTGTGTGTGTTGGGTGGTGAAGTACCTACTGGTGKCTCTCATATCTACTGTTGATTRTTGCTCATTGTTCRAATTTATCAAGACTTTTTTYAGATTCACACTACAAAATAMGCAATAAAAGTAGGTMTGMTTTGTGCTGATATCTTATCYGGTCAATACCAATATCGGCCAATTCTCAAGGTTGCACTATTGGTTTCAWATCAGAAGTGAAAAAGTTGTWTTGAAACACTCCTAGTCTACATAYAACATTTTCTTCTCRTTTATCTTCATCTCCTGCCGCTTATCCATAGTTGAGTCGCAGAGGCAACAGGTCCAGGAGAGAAACCCAGACGTCCCTCTCCTCATGACACTTTCCAGCTCGTCCTGTGGGACCCCGAGGCATTTCCAGGCCAGAGAGGATAATAATAATCCCTCCAGTGTGCTGGGTCTTCCCCGGGCCCCCTACCATTCATCAAAATCTCAAATCTGGGACATTTCCAGGGACAGTTTTAGCCAGGAACAAGTCATCCTGAATGGGAGGTGTCCTGAGAAAATGGGGATGTCTGGTCACCCTATTTTAGGAATCAAAATAATCATCTGTTCAAGACATTATACCTATGACTTTAGATTTTTTTTCAAGTTTTTTTT